TTTTTTTCTCGTTTTTATGTTGTTTTTTTTTTTTTAATATATGCAAACTTAGAAAAAACAATATATATATATATATATATATATATATGGGGTCGTAGATCTCCAAGATATCGACAAGACTATATTTTTTATTATTTATTCTTTGGCTGCAAAAGAAATCTCTGTGAAAAAAAAGAAAAACCCACCTATTTCATATTGTTTTTTCTTTTCTTTCTTTCTTTTATATTTTTGATTTTTTTTTAAATAAAGAAAAAGTTCAAAATATAAAATAAAAAACATAAGGTTGTAGATCTCGAAAATATCTACAACCCTGTATTTTTGTTTTCTTTTTTGCTCATTATTTTCGGAAGAAAACAATATTCCCGCGCCCGCTCAAAGCTCAAAGCCCACTCAAGCGCTTTTGAGCGCGGGATTGAGCGAGCTCAAAAATTTGAGCTCCGACCCCGCGCTCAATCAGCGCGCAGTTACACAGCCCCAACGCCTCGGGCGACAACGACACACACAGCAAACGAATGGACAGGCAAACACCACGGAAGGGGGGGGAAAAAAAATAATACCCAATCCTTTGAAATGACCACTTCGGAAAGGTCCATTACTACTCCAAGATCGAGGGTAATCAAGCTATGGACGGCCAGGGTGCATATTCGGAACAAGAACGTGACAAGCGAGATATAATCACACAAATAAAAGAAAATAAAAACAAAATTCAATCAGTCGGCGAAATATACAACCCGCCTTTCGCACTAGTTGCAAACGACACCATCGCCAGCCGACCGTCCGCCAACATCCACAGAAGCGGCTATCCGAACCTCGCAATTCAGTCCCTTGCCAAAGCCGATGCGATCTTCAGAAGTGCATCGCACAACATCCGCTGCCCGGCGTCCAGGACTTCACATTGCCTCTCCTGCGTTCTTGCCTCCCTGTCCATTATGTCGCACTGCCTCTGGAGCACGTTGCACTGGCGCTTGCTCGTGCGGTCTATGGATTTGGCGACCACGGTGGAGTGTGTTTTCATTACATCGGTTACTGCCTCGAAAGCCAGCTGCTTGACGTTCTTCTGCTTCCCCGGCATGCCGTTCACGGAGGACCTGCTGCCACACCCGTTGCTGCTTCCTTGTTCTCACTCACCAAAGTGTTGGCTTCCCACCCACCAATGGGTGCTTGGCTATGCTCCCCTTGTTGGGATTGCAGTCCTTGTGTGTTGTCGTGTCTGCAATATTCGGTGCCACTGGGTGAACAACCTGATTGTTCCCCTGCATGATGTGGATGGCATCATACAGAGTGCGGTCTCGACTGAACCAATATCCTTTCTCCTTCCGTGTTTTCGTGCTTATCAAGAAGTACGGCTGCAGTCCCGACTCCTTCTCCCCGTCCCACACTTTCCTGGACCACCCAAATATATTATCCCACCTCTTGATGCATTGGTCCCATCCCGCCGAACTCCTTCCTTATCCATTCGCTTCGCGATGTCCATCCATTTCTGGTCCTTGGTTTTCATCTGAGCATAGTTATGGCCAACATTAGCAAAGTAGTCATATTGGTCTCTCTTGCACCGGACAAGAGCCAGGGACTCGTCCAAATTCCAGTTCGCCCGCTCACCATTCCCGCTACCTTTGCCATTTTTTTCACCTTCCTTATCCTTTTCCTTCGCCTTCTCGCGACCTTTGGATGCTTGCTTTGTCTTCCCGCCAGCAGTCACTTCCTTGACGACAACCTCCTCTTCTTCGTCGTCCTCATCGTCGTCATCATCACTGTCAACAAAGTCGGCCTCGCTTGCAGCACCGTCCGGTCGTGCTCCCTCGCCGTCACTACTCGCCCGCAAGCTATTGAAGCGACACACAGTTGGCTCCACACATCGAGGGGATTCCGCAACACTGGTCACGTCAGGCCTCCCTTCCTGCACGGTCGCGGCTGGCGAAGGGGGGTGATGCCGAACACTTGCACGAGGTCCACCCTGGCTCGCCACAGGCCTTGACACCTGGTTCGGCTGATGCTGTGAAATCCCCTCGTCAAAGGCGGTGCCTTGCATCGTCTGTGTGTTGCTACCCCCACCATGTCCACTTTGCTGGATGAGGATCGTTCTAGACACATCGACGGTGGTGGTTGGAGATCGAGAGGAAGATGGCCTCCCCCCGGCACATCAGCCGGCAGTGCCGACATGGGGCCCATACCCCCGCCCCGGCTGTGCACTCGCGCAGGTGTGTCATAAGACATCTGAGTCGACCCCTACGCAAGATCCACGGTGTCGACCGGTAGGAGGGATCTGTCGGCACACCGGAACGGCCCTGTATTCCTTTCCGTGTCTGTCACCCACGGGAGAGTTGTTCCGTGGCTCCTGCAACCTGTAATGCAACCAAGTTAGTACCCATGCACAAACGACCAGACACTTAATGACCAAGTACACTAAATTGCTGAATAGCGACTTCAAGACATCTAATCTATAATGTTCGGTTTAACGACACAAGAGTCTGTCTGACCACGTGCTGAAATAACAGTGTTTGGCCTTATCTTGTGTTGTGACAGGCCTAATGCAACATCTGGGCTGAACCATAGGCTTATTTGAAGTCGTCTGTAACTGGCCCTTAGGGCCCGAGCCACTCCTCTGGAACTCTCTGAGCGGGCTTCGACCAAGTCCCCCCTTTCTGTCGAAATAGGACCAGAGAATTGCAGTTGGCCGAGGTCTGCTCGGCTTGAGTTCGCTGCTGCTGCAGTCTACTGTATCATAGATCCGCTCCTAAGTGTTTTCTCTGGACAATCGCAGAGTGGGTGTTCACTGCCGTAGTAATACTCGGGAATTTGTTTTTGAACGTGAGCGCTCTCTCCTGTTGAGAGTCCTGGACCACAGATTGAAGTCTGTTGAGTCCGGTAAGCCTCGAGTCCGCTCCATCCTTTGAGATTCGTACTCCATTTTCGCTTCGTGTGTTCCAGTTACTCACTGCCTTACTCGAGTCTGCTATCTGTGACTCCGAGTCATAGGAACCACTGAGTACAACTTCAGTCTGTCGAGTCTAGATCAGTTTAGTGACACTGATCTTGAGTCTGCTGAGTGCAGTGTAGACCTGTTGAGTCCAGGTCCACTCAGCAATATTGATCTTGAGTCTCGGATCTGCAAAATGCTGAGTCTGGGTCCTAAGCTTCCCGCTGCCTGCATGAGTTCGAGTCTCCAGACATCTGAGTTTGGGTCTCCCAACTTGCTTCTGCTGCAGCTATTTCAGGTTTCAGGACATTGTACTCTTTTCTTCCGCATCTGAGAACTGTTGAGTTTGAATGTCTGTTCAAGAAGAACACAGGCTAGTGAGAGGGAAACAATCCCCTAAGCTCAACATCTGGTACAACAATCACAGTTTGCTAAGCTTTAGACACTTGCTTCTTTCGAATAGAGCCTGTGAAACTTGACTGTCTGTGTACCGCAAGAGCTTTCTCGATCACTTCACAGTGAGGATTTTTGGGGCTTGCAAGGGCGACGATTGAACCTGAACCAAAGAACCGTCCCCTCTCATTGCTTCTCGGCTCACGCTGTTCTTTGCCAGGGTGCTGATGTGGCTGTTTCCCATCCTGGTATCACCCCCTACTTGAGCAGCCAAGTTTCCTCATTTGAAATTTCTGGCCCAGAATAACTTCTTAGACTCAGAGGTAACTCACTCACCTAGTAGTTGAATGAGGTAAGGTTCCCGGCTTGTAACGAGGGAGTGTCCCTCAAAACATGCAAATCAAATTTTATAGGAAACGGCAAGAATTTGACTCAGGGCATTTTTGGAATTCGACGTAAACAAGTGGCATTTTCGGTCTTCCGATAGTTTTGCCAGCTCTCTCTCTCTCTCTCTCTCTCTCTCTCTCTCTCTCTCTCTCTCTCTCTCTCTCTCTCTCTCTCTCTCTCTCTCTCTCTCTCTCTCTCTCTGTGTGTGTGTCAACGTGTGAGTGCGCGCGTCTGTGCGCAACGACTTTCCCCACATAGCAGCCCTTCCGCGCAAGCTCTCCTACTTCGCGGCCCTTACTCCGCCGCTTCTCGCAGTTTCTCCCCGGGTGACCTCGTTGACCTCGCGTGACTTCGTTTTCCCCGTGCGGCTTCGTTCCCCTCGCGCAACTGTTCGCGCTGCTCCTCTCTCTCGCTCGTTCATGCGTGGGCAGGTCCACGCTTTGCTAACCCGTGCGCGACTTTCCTGACCTCGCACGCGGCTTGATCTTTGTTGCGCGACAGCCCATCCCCGCACGAGCTCCCCTACTCCCCGCGACCTCTCTTCCTCTCTCTCACGCAGCTCCTTCCTTCCTGATCTCCCTTTCTCTATTACGTGTGCGCGGTAGGTGCACGCTCGTTCGACCATCCACCTGCCTTTGCGCGATCCTCCCTTCACACGAGCACCTGCCCAACGCTTAGTCCCGTTGCGTTTTCCTTGTGAGCTCGTTTTGCAAGCCGCCTCGCTGGCTTCAATCTGGATGCACGTGGAGTCCGACTCCTTTGGGGCCAGGTACGTGTAATCAAAGAAGTAAGGCTTGAGCCCCGTGTCCCTCTATTTCCTGTCTGATTGTGTACCTTTCTGGCAGGCGTTACACACCCGCCGCCCTTCACTCTCCGCTCGCCTGCTTACCTTCCACAGAGGAGTGTTTGGTGTGTCTCTTCAAAGTTCGCGTACGCTGCCAACACCCACCTCGATTGGCGGATTTCAGTAGGTCCCGGAAACTCAATCGGAGGGAAAAAACCTTCTTTTCACATTAAACTTTGTGAGTAGATCGTTCGTCTCATCTGTCAAACTTCGTGAACCTCTCCGCTCGTCTGTTACCAAAGGCTCGTCAAGCTCTTTGTCAACCGATACACTGGTCAATCAACCCAGTCAAGAACCCAACCCGTTCGATTGGTGCATGATGTCCACGTTCGCTCATGCGTGCGCTGGAGTGTGCTCCCGCAAGAGCTAGCTCCTCTCATCCTCCATGAGCTAGCCCCCCTGCGGGATAGCCAGTGCGCCTCTCCTTACTGTCCGCAAGGCGACCGTCCCTCCCGTACTCCCTCCGGGAATGTCCCTCACGTGCGCTGAACAGGCATTGAAACTCCCCCTTCGTACACATGCACCCAAGCCTTCGTGAGCTAGCCGTCTGCGGCTAGCCAGTGCACCAGTTCTCACCGTGTGCCTCTCTCGTCCCCAGTCAGAAGCCCCCCCAAGAACGGGCCCAACTCAGGTTAATCGGGCCCAACGGTAACAGCCACAGCAGTCTCCAGCCCACTGGTACCACCAACGGTCGGGCGGGCTGTCGAGAAACTTGCAGCGCCCCGGTACCGAGCCTCCTCCCGAACCTAGGCCCGGGCCTATTTGGTGCCCCAAAATGTTACTTGCCAAGGGGGCCTTTTTGTCGGGTACCGGGCCTTTTGCAGCGCCCTGGTACCAGCTCAGTCCCGAGCCAGAGTCCGAGCGTACTCCCTTCTCCGAATAGTCACTAGTGGTATTAAAGGGCCGTAGCGTCGGGAAAATCAGCGGCCTGGTACCAGACCTGAGTCTCCGCACATGTTTTCGGTGTCCCGACCTAAATCCCTTCAATCGATCCGCTGGAGTAAATTAGGGAAGCCGCCATTAATTTTTCATGGGCCCACCTCAACCCTTAGGCTCTCGATCCTGTCGAAAACGGACGAACTTGACGACGTGCCGCCCGAAGACTCATCATACTTTGACGGGAGGCCCAACGCCACTCTTGAGATACCTTCATTCCGTAATAATAATTCGAGGGTGGTGGCGAGTTCCAGTCACCCGATCACGTACCGCCATTCAACGTTAGAATTGTCCGTTTTTATTGAAATAACAAATTTTTCAGCTACTGTCGAGTCTTGGAAAAATCACCCTCCTTGGCCCGTATTTTCCCATAGCCTCGCCTGAACTTGGTCTCTCTCGTGTCGTTCATCCTTCATCAACCAATCGTCTCCCTTCCGCTTGGTCTGCAAGGTGAAAACCGTCGGAACAGGTCACCGTGCGAAACCCGACCCTCAAATGTAGACTCTTCAAAGGAAGTAAAGGGCGGCGTAAGGCTTGGGCCGCCCGACAACGGTTGACGGAGGCGGTGCCCATGCCAAATCGTCAGGCAATGGCTGCTGGTGAGGAGGCAGATGCGAATATGGATTCGGATCAAACCTGTGGTGCATGATGTGCTCCACTCCATTCCCACCTCCGTAGGCCCCCCTGCCCATCCCATAACCTGTGCCCCAATACTGTATTCATCCCCCATGCCTTTGCTCGCCGAAGAACTTTGTCGAAGCCTCTTCAAACCCTTCTTCCTTCCACTTCGGCTGCGAGCACCGCCCAGTTGGCACGAGTGCAGAATGATCAACAGTACCAACGCCCCAACTTGAAGCAGGAAAATAAGCAGAGTTGTCTTCCTCACCATGTCAGTCACGCGCTTCTCCAACAAAGTACAAGGAACGGAGCTGTTGCGAACTTTCGAACAGGACGAAGTATGGAAAGCAGGGGACTGCAATACACAAGATCACACGCCACGACCGACAGCGGAGGGGCGGTAGTGTCGATGGGCGTCGCAGACAACCCGCGTTTGCCGTTGAACCTAAGACCACCAACGACCATCTCACCCGCCTCCGCACAGACCCCTGCAACGGTCGCCTCCAAACGCCAATTGAAATGGCAAACCGGAGGGACTGGGGGGACACAAGCGGGGCACTGCACGACTGTTGGAGGTTGCTGTGGGACTGCTGTCCCGCAGTCTACCGGACAACACCGTCGTTGGACCAGGAATACCCAAGACACACCTGACGTTAAAAAGAAAAAAAAAACGTTTTTTTCGCGGATGTAAGGGTGTCACAGGGAGAAGTAGATGGTGGGATATCAAGCGTCCTACTAGCGAGGGGGCTAGCTCGTAGGATGGAAATAGGTAGCCGAAGCTAGGAAACGGCCCTGGTATCTCAAAAAAAGAGGGAAGGGGGGAGAGCTAGAACTGGAGGATGGAAGGTAGTAAGGGGGCTCTCAACAGAGGAAGGTTGTTTGTTAAGGTAAGTAGGTTAGAAGGACGATGCTGGGATGACACAGGCCGTTGCTGGAGCTTTTGCTCTGTGAGCTAGGGGGAGCTTAAAACCTGTGGAGTTATGTCGAGGGTGGAAGGCATAACCAGACCGTTCGACGTAGCTGATGCCGGGATATTAACCCTA